GCTTCTGACGGTACTCTGGTAGGGAAACTTCAATATCTTGATTACAAATAAAATTGCCTCTGGTTGGTGATAAAATCTTGATGACAATCGCCACTAAAGTAATCCATCCACTCAACAGTGAATACACTAATGGATCACAGAACATAGCAATCGCCTGAAGCTTTCAATTGCAATTTGTAACAAGGATAGTTCAATTTATGCCCAATTTCTTTATTAAAATTTATCCTTCGGCTTTTGTCCATGGCTCATTAAATAAATTTGTTTGAATTCATTTAAAGTTACCGCATGGAATATGACAATTCATTTTTGAGTACTTTTTGAGCCCTAATAAGTGCCATTCACTTGGGCAGTCAGTGTCCTTAATTCATTGCACAGTTATCCAATATCAATCCAAGTCATTAGTTGAACTTTTTAAAATTCATACATTAAATAAATTTATTCATTGCATTAAAAGTTGATTTTAAAAGATTTACACCCGAAAAAAAAACCACCCAAATTGTCGTTTTACAAGAAAACAGAATAGCTGCGTTGCGGTTAAAGGATATGAGTACGACCCTGTAACGCACAGCGCTCTGCGCCATGCATTTTGTCAACACATCACAATGGTGCCAAGGAATAGAAAAGATGGCGCAATCGGAGGCAACATGGAGCAACGCACAGGCCATGGAGCAACGCAACCACGAAGGTCTTAACTAATTTATTTAAACTGCCTTTCGGTTCGCTGGTAACTTAGGCGCTTTGGAAAATGAACGGAAAAAATAAGTGAAACGCTTAAAATGCTGATATTTTACTTAATTTTCTCTTATCATCGTTTTTCCATTCCCATTTACATTTTATTTTTATTTTGATTTTGTTAAGCATCTTCGTCGTATTTACTTATTTCATATTTATGATAAAATTTATTCAACTTGAAGAGTAACTGCCATGCACTGCTCATGCCAATATATTTACTTGCCAGCCTATAAGCTTGCCAGCCTGCCAGCCTGCTAGTCTGCTTGGCCGCCTATCTTGCTTATGAATACATTGTCGGAAGCATGTGGCTTCATTGTTGATCGGCTCAACAACCAAATCTGACCATCTTATGCGAATTTAGTTTCATGTAAACTGAATGGCATCATTGCCAGTCGCTTATCCTGAGGCATTTATAAGATAATTTGAATGGTTGCTATGAGTTCTGCCACCAGTTTCAACTTCAACTTCAACTCCAACTCCAACTTCGACTCCGAAACTTCGGCACTGGCGAACTTGAACTTATTTTTATCCCCAGTGCAATCGTTAATACAATATTTGCTTTACATTTATAAAACATTGATAAGAACGCACTTTTGATGAGGGACAAACCATCATTTCTCCATCTTCATAGTTAAGACTTCGTTTAAATAAAGTTTTCATCAAAAATTTAAAACAACAACAACAAACGGACGAAAACGAAAACGAAAAGAAAACAAAGGGAAAAAACTCAATATAAATAAATAAATAAATAAATAACGTTTAATACAATTGAAGGATATAGAATAAACTAAACTAAACCGAACCGAGCCGAACCGAACGGAACGGAACGGAACTCAACCAAAATAAAATAACAGGAAATAAATTTAATATACTCACTTTCACACACACACACGCACACAAACATTCTCATCCTTACGAATACAATATAGTGCTGCACACATCCTCAGACATCATCTATCCCCGCTCTCGGCTATTCAAATTGGTGTATTTAGGAAAAATGGCTTTCCAAATTGTTATGCAAATTCACACACACTCGATACTCACTTCCTCATCCGCCAGCCGGGTTTCATCTTAGGCCTGCCTGTTGGGGTGAAGTGTGGTTATTGTTTCTCATTGTCGAAAAGAAAATGGATTATTTAAGTAAAGTTTAAGTAAAAGATAATTTGTAAATTGTTTCGAATTGGAAGGACGAGAAGTATAGCTTTTATTCCCGAAGCACAATGGCTTACAAAATGATTGAAGGAAATACGTTAAAACGACGGAAACAGAAAGACAACATTTCCTGTTATTTTCCAAAGTTAAAAGTCCAATTCACTACAATGGAAGTGCTCTTGTGGCCTACACTTTGGGTTATTCCATTATTACTAATGTTGGATGTTAGTATACATATTATTGGTATGACGGGAATATTAAATAGATAATTATATTTCTCCAAAAGAAACTGATGCTTAAAATCTTCATCTGAATATAGTAGAATGACAATAGATATATAAAATAGTAATTTGAATGGCTTTAATTACAAACATCATCGTCTAATTAAAAGTGACATTACAATGTATATTACAAAAGTAGAAAAACTGCATTAACTTGATTAAATACTCAAAATACTAATCGAATGTTAAGTACCAGAGGAATACGCAAAAAGCGACCAAATAGGTAGGTGAAGTGGAATGAAGAAAACAAGTGTTTTAACTCCCTGTTTCTCTTAATTGTGGGTAGAAGGATGAGCATATTAGAATCAGCTGGATTCATTGACAAATTTAAGTATCTGCCCAATACTAAAGTAGGAAATATCGCCCAGTGCATTAAAGAATGCGGCATTATCTAGCTTAAGCGTAGCTTCCAATAACCATCGCAATAGCTGCTTCGGTGTTTCTTCTTCTAAGGTTGTTAGGTATGTACTACAGGAAATTCGACAAGAGTGTCCGGTTTTAATTCGATGTCATTCTACCTAGATATATCCAATTTACTTTTATGTATTAAGTTAGACGTTCTGCATTTGGAGTAAAACAGTCACGTGGTTCTTAACCTGGAGGCTTAGAAACTATGAGCACTATTCCTAATTACCTATCGCAAGAAAGTTGGTAAATCAACTTTTGTGTGTGGCATGCAACAGCAGGGACTGAAATGGAAGCTTCCAACAGAAAAAGCGCAAAGTCTACTTAAGTCATGGATATAATTTAAGTGTCCAAACGTATTCTAAGATCATTTTAGCAATATGGAATATGGAAAAGTAGGTTTAAAGTAACTTTTTAAAATCTAAGTTCATATAAAGAACTGTATACTGAACTTTCAATTATTAATGAGTAAAGATATTTATAAATGAAGTAATCTTTGTACAAAAACATATACAGGGTAACATAATATATACAGGGTTAACACATACAGGGTAAAATAATTACTTTTAGTCCAGTACACAATAGATATAATACGACAGTTCGTCTGTGATGAACGTTTGTCAATCAATCACAAATTTTTTGTAAAAATATATTTGGTGATTTCATAGATATTGCATTGAGAATAGAGTCGTTACTCTATATGATGGTAAAGTTAGTATGAGAATATGCGAATTTTTAAAAGTTCTTGAATTGGTTTCGACAACTGGGAATTGCAAAGTAGATAAAATAAGTCATGACGTGAGTAATAAAAAATAGAAGAGATTGTATATGACTTTAGTATATGAGTAAGAAAATTTTCTTTTGAAACATTGTGGAGTCTTTTCTCTACGCTTCATCTGCAAACCAGTATGCAAACCAATATAAACACTAATCCTTCACTAGCCTCCAAAAGGAACGGACGGATCATAAGAAAATGTACTCATCCCGCGACTACTATTTGTTCTTTTTGAAAAATTTTCGGAAAGTTTTGAAGTTACGATCACTTTCCCTAAATTTTTTTAAATAAATGTATTTGTAGTATTGAAAAATTAGTGCGACCTCTGAACTATTTGTGAGCCCATCTTAATGTTTTTTCTGCTTCACATATTTGTCCTTTTGGCAGTTTAAAATGTTTGTGCCTAATTTATTCAAATTAATGTTCATATTATTATCTCTAAAGGATGTGCGGCATATTTTCCAACTAAAATGCTGCGTCCACTTTCATCTCGGTGCCATTAAGACGAGAGCGTTGCTTCATTCGATACTTTTGAGATGAAAGCATTAAATTTTTAAACTTCCCACCGTTTGACTTGGGGCTCACGTTAAGGAATTAATATTTTTGAAAAATTAATGCGCACACTGAGATACGACAACGATACGACAGCATTATGAGAATGGCATTTGTGGGCGAAGGGAGAGGTAGCTAAGCCGTTGAAAAGCGTTCTGCTTTTCAGCTTGCGTTTGCTTCATTAATTCAGACTTTTTATGGCAGCTGCGATGGCTACAACTTACGCCTGCTATATTAATAACCTAAAAATGAAAAGGGTTTTAAAGGATTCCGAACGAAACGACCCTACACCCTGCATTCAGCATTCAGCATTCAGCGTTCAGGACTCAGCATTCGACATACAGCATTCTTCATCCTGAGCACTAAGCCCTGTATACAACATGAACACCAACAGAGTTGTGGGATCCAATGCGAGAAGCTTCCATTAATATACATAAACATGCACTCATACAAACACATACACACAGACACACACATTTGCACTCGCTCGTACATCTTGAGAAGCAGCAGCAAAATGTTATAAAATAAAATTTAGGGCTGAAAAGCAAATGTCCTGTGCACCTTGTGCATATTTTATGGTCCAACTTTAATGAGAATTAAAATGAAACACCCACAACGCAGGCTAATTTTGATTTATGCGAAAGTTTATGTTTCCCGTTTAACGCAATAAAAAATGAAAATGAAAATGAAAATGGAAATAAAAACAAAACGAAAAAGAAAATGGAAAAACCAAAAATCTTAAGACAAAATGACGTGAAAGCACTAAAAGCAGGCAATTTGTTTTCTTGGAGCGCACGAGCGCCCGCTGTCCTGCAGGCGAACCCTGGTATTTTGGTTCGGTTTCAATGTAACAAACTGAATTGAATGTAATCCTTGCACGGAAATAAAATTACAATAAATTGCATGAAGTGACAAAATATAAGTAATCATTTTTAAAATATTTTACGTCCTTTTCCATGTCCTGCCTGCCCTCTCTGCCGTCCCTGCCCTGCCTGCCCTTATATCATAATTCACACAATTGAATTTATTCTTTTGAAATATGTTGAAGCTCATTTCATATATCACATTTCCTTATTAATTTTATTATTCTTTTCTTCTTTAAGGTATCGTTAATCATGGCAGCGAAAATTTTGACTAAGATTTGTCCTATGTTTGATTGGGTGCTAGTACAGCGTACATCTTTTCCTAAAACAGTCACAGAAAGCGGCATTAAGCTTGTTCAAAGACCAGTCCGTGAGCCAAAGCATGGTGTTGTTCTCGCTGTTGGTCCAGGTATGCGCAATCCCAACACTGGTAAGCACTTTGAACCTTGTCTAAAGGCCGGCGATCGTGTTCTTCTACCTGGTTTTAATGGTCGCAAGATTGATGTTGAAGGTCAAGCCCACTGTGAACTTTACCAGGAATCTGATATTCTTGGTAAAATTTATTACTAACTCCCAGCCAACAATCTGCCAATAACGCAAATAAGTATTTTGGACACATGACGGACGATGACTATGGACGGATCTTAAATATCTTAATGCTACATAAAATTGTTTTGTTTTTTATTATATATGACTTGGATTTTGATGATTTTAAAAATTTTCAATAAATAAAAATTTTTGTTGTTCGACGACCTGTAAATGTTATCTGGAATTAATTTTATTTAGATTCGCTAAGCTTGATATATGAGTTTAAATTTCAGTATATCATGACGCATTTGTTTACATACGTGCATGATTTCGATGTGTAGTCTCCTCTGCCGCAAACATTGGTTGATGTTGATGTCTCTTTAAATCGATCACTCGATTTAATTATTAAGTTATTTTAGTGTATAATAATAATATCATACCAATTATAGACTTAGTTGAAAGATTTATAGTTATAGCTGTGAGTCCACCTTGTGAGTGTGATCCATCGGGTTTTTTACCGCATCGCTACCCTAAGGTAGTCTTATCGCGTTATTACCTAATCTAGTAATTTACCTCTTGGTTATTTCCTAGATGAGGATACCAAAGCATTTTCTGCTGACCATGTCGTCATAAAGGTACATTATCTAGAATCGCTATAGTTTCTTGTTAGCTATGTTCCCACTATTAATTAAGGTAGACACTCAAGAATTTAAAATAAGTATAATATTATATAGAAACTGATTTTTTTTGAGTTTGTTTTCCATATATACAGAATTAAAATATATTTGACATTCTGAAAAACACAATGACGACATCCATTAAGCCAGACGCAGAGTGCGATGATTTCACAACAAATATACATTAATTAGTGACCTCCCGCACGTTGAGTACACGAACACAGTATTGCGGCTCTCCTGATCAAGTCTTTAGCTGGGTCCCTTAAGGTCTTATGCATGATGTTTCCTATACACTAATTATACGTATTTCGAGTCCTATTAAGTTAGACGAGATAGTTCAAAAGAAATGCAGAAAAATCAATGTTAAATGCTTTGAAAAGTTTTCATGATTGTCACTGGCAAATGCATATATCTTTTGTTTTCATATTTTAAAATACCAATTTCTCTTTATGAGGGCCTTGAAAACACAGCCGAATAAATATAGTATGGTATAACATAGTTATAATATAGTATAATATAACATAGTATAATATAGATAAGTTTAGATAGGTTACCCATTCTTAGGTGGCTAAGAGTTCACGTTTTGAAAATATCCGAAAATTCGAATTTCGATCATTTCGATTTCGAAAATTTTTGAATTAAATATGCTTTCTTTAGAATGACTTTCCAAATCGAAATTCCTCTATTAGGTTACGTCAAATTGCAGAAAGTTAATAGCCAACCGCGCTCAATGACTATCCAAGTCAATTGAAGAAAACAAATTTAGAATTCCTAGATAAGACGTACGTGATCCGACAGTCGTTCTTTAACAGCTTTTGCAAATTTATTGGTGTTTGTTATCTGAACAAATTTAACTTGTTTCCTTTATTATTAGAGTTTTTTTCTTAAATTTTTCTTCTGAAGAATATAACAGATTACACTGGCTCAGCATGCTCATGTCATTTATGTGCAACAGTTTTTAAGGTAATTTACGTAGAAATTTTAGAAACACGTCCGCATAAAATGTGGACAACATTTTTTTCTTTCTTTTCAGTTACTTCCACGTAAATAAATCAGTCTTAGTTCGGAGTTTACACCCCGCATTAGCAGAGGATAAAAGCAGGAACACGTGTGCTCACGTACTGGCAAAAACATATTTAATAAAAAATGACTTTTGTGCGGTAATTTGTATTGCAAGACCAACGCTAGAAGGGCGGAGAGTGCAGTATTTAAAAGTACATGGCTTCACATAAAGGACAAACAAATTGAAGAAAATTTCTATTAAAATTTTGAGATGTCCAAGTTTTCATATGCCTATTACCTGCCGTAATCGTTACCATCACGCACTCAAAAGACAAAGATGCATACCTAAAGCTGAGATGTCATTACCTCGAAAATGCGAATGAGAGCTGCGAGGTTTTCAGAGTCGTAATTTTAAATAATTTTGAAGACAAAATGTTCAAAAATTTATAAATATTTTATAGTTTTCGGGTTGTAAGTAATCGATCAATATGCGAAAATAATAAAATATCACTTGACCATTTCGAAGTTATATATGTTTGATAACAAAAAATAGTCAATGGTTGAGTTACATTCAGCTAAGGCTGGAGATTATTTTCCTTTCCGTTCTTTATTTACTGCAATGGAGCTCAAAGCTTCGAAATTTCACGAACTGATGGCTGTCACCTGGTCTTAATCTCTTAAAGTCTCAGAACATGATTTTTCAAGCTTTCTATTTACTGGGGGAAAAATAATAATGGCTACCATCATCATTATTGAATAATCATTATGATATAAAGATATACAATGAATTTCCTTATCACATATGACCAAAAATTTTTGTGACAGTTCTATATGGACTATATGTTTATTTATATCAAGGAAGTCACACTAAAATTACTGCGGTAAACTTGACAACAATTATAAGACAACATAGTTTTCTATGGAGCAATGTAATAGAAGAATTGCACAAAGCAATCAATAATAACAATATATGTATAATAGAAGCCATGCTAACATATCCATTTCATTCACTAAGTTTTAATGTCACTACTGTAACAGCATACTACCGAAAGCATGTTAAATAAGCGTTTTCTCGCATAAAGAATAAGTCAGAGCACGTCTTTATAGACCGGGACTGCAGTACCCAGAAGCGCTGGGTGAACACAACTATTTTTCCAGCAGAAATTTATGTAATAGATAGGTGTGTTTACTTTAACCTGGAACATGATTATCAGAATTATACAAAAATCATCCAGGCAGCAATTAGAGCTTTCAATTCAAGTCAGGTGAAATCAATACTGATGATAAAGTGGACTACATTGACAGAACTGAATATTTACTAAAACATAGTAACCTTTTTTTGAAAACTGAATTTAAATATCTATTAAAAGGAGATTGCTGTCACAAATGGATTTTAAATTTTAATGTTAATTATTATAAATTGTTATACACATATCTTGATTTCTATATGTTGTCCTCAAATTTCCTTTGCTTTTCAAAATTTCACTAATATTTATTGTGGTCTTAATTGTTTTATCAAAATTCGCAATTTTAAGAAATTTTTTTTAAAAATGAAGTACTTTGGGATAAATAAAGATATGCCATACATGTCGGATATAAGCTTTGACTCCGATATAGGATATGTAGAAGACTCTTTTCAAAAGCAGTATGATGACGCTCCTAGGAAGTGTCGTAGTGATGGATGGTATTCCGACCTACTCAACACGGAAAAGTAAGTAGATTTTTGTATCGGCGCCTACCCATACATTCAATTATTTAATATTTAGAGAGTATATATCCATAATTTCTAATCTGGATAATGCCTATGAGGTTTTGAAGAATGTGCTGGATCGAAAAACTGCTGAGGACCTGGAACACTTCTCACTACTCGAGCAGAGTGAAGTTAGTTTTATTCCTAAATTTTAAATCAATTTCGAAGATATCTTTCAATAACTTGGTTTTCTCATTTGTTTCTTGTAGAAAGATTTGAACACTTATTTTCGTAAATCCCATGAGCAAATAGAAAAGTTTTTCAGCGGAAGTAGTAATGATTCGAAAAAGTCGAAAAAAGATGTCAAGCAAGCAAAAGATAAAAAAGAGAATAAAGGGAACAAAGAGAATATAGGGAAACAACAAAAACCTAAAAAAGCATTTAAAAAGCCTATGGCTCCCAAGCAACCACCTCCGCCAGAGAGACGTACAAACGAAAAACGCAGGCCACACAAGCAAACAAATGGTGTACCCATCAAACAGTTGTCCATGCATCTCATGCATGAAAACACATCAGATTCTGATTTCGGGCGACATCATGGCTACAATGATATGTGTTGCACCAGATCAGAGTTTGAAGCAATGCTAAATCATAATTCGTTTGTCAATAATAGTATCGATCAAGCACTTTTCGAGCGTCTATCAGAATTATCTTGTGGATTAAGCGGAAGCGAATACACCTGCGATAGTCAAAAAACATACACCGAGAAGGACGAATGTGTTGGAAACCATCTTCAATTCAAAATGTCTGATTTTTCCTGTCTTACCGTAGAAAAAAATACTAACTTCGATCGAACTATGTATTTTCCATCCGAAAGTGTCATTGAAGCACCAGCTCCTCCCAAAAAACAACGTCGATCTTATGTCAATCAGACTTGCGATGTACGTGACCAACGCGATTTAAATAACTATGATCTCTGCCATTTGGAAGTTTTTCCGAGATATTCCTTTGCTAGTGACATGTACCTGCCTAACTATTGAAAACATTTTTACTTTCTGAATTAATAAACTATGTATTAACAATATTCTATTCGATTACATTATTCGCTGAGAACTCTAAATGAAGAAAGAAGGGATCTCAACGAATATTGTAAGCGAGTTAGAAAAATAATATGCTGAAAGTGAGGAAAACAACTTCACATTAAATAGTAAAGGATATCAGCAAATAATACAAAATCGAAGTTTTTTTTGAATTTGATGTATTAAATTAGAAAGTTATGAGATATCGTTGAGATGGATCTATTAGTCAAATCATTAATAAATTTATGCGAAATCCTTAATTTCGTAAAAAATTATATTCATAAGTGAATATAATTTTATCATTTAATCCTTTTATTATTAATTCTGTTACGTATACAACACTTTCTTAAATGCTTCTTCAGGGGTTTTGAAGATTTGTTTTTGTTTTTGCCAAGACCGCACTTATGAGCGGTAAGGATTTCCCTCGCATCATTTAAACTGCCAAATCAAATACTTCTGTGTTCTTTGGAGTAAACCCCTCCCCCATGCAGGTGTGCATTTCGCCCATGCATTCAAGCCGAAACTCGATTAACAACAAACATTGCTCGCTCCAAAATAATTTCAAATCCTAAACAAACACCGAAGAAAATCATTCTGTGTTCTTTATTAAGTAAAGAAAGATGAAAGCAATAAAAGTTTTCATTCTTCTCGTTCAATTTTGCTTTGTGCAAGTTCGTTTTCTTTGCGGTCTGCCATTGTCCTTTTTGTATTTTGTATTTGATATTTTAAGTTTGTTCTGCGGATTTGGATGCTGGCTCTGGTGCCGAATTCAATCCGCCACTTGCTGCTCTAATACTCTGACGCTGTGATGCTGTGATGCTGTGATTTCATTCTGCACTGACACCCACTAGATGTGCCATCAGTAATTCATACATATTTTGATATGAAAAAAAGAAACCTAAAGTAAACAAAACAAAACAAAACAAAAGAAAGGAAAAGAAAAGAGAATGAAAACAAATGCAGCATTTACAGTAAGAAAAAAAAAAGAAGAAATCTGAAAGGCTAAGACAGTAAGGACACCAAGAGAAAAGGGAAGCTAAGGGAAAAGAGCAAATATAATACTTTTGGGCAAATATACAAGCCCATCATGGCCACATTTATTATGAAAGAGCTGAGACATGTACGTACATTGCTTTGAACGCGGTGTGTCGGTTTGTGTCCTATGTTAGCTCACCCAAACCCACTCGACTGATTAGGTTTAACAGGCGGTAGCTGAGCTATTTGGAAGAGATTTAGCCCCAATTTGCGCTTAGCTTGTTAAATGGCAATGAAGGAGCAAAATAATTGGACGTAATGTGGTAATCCTCAAATAATCTTTTGCTGTGTTTACCAGAATTTTTGTAAGATGCCACTACGGCGAGAAGCTCACTGCCTCACTGAATTGAACTCTTCTTCTACTTTTTATCCATTTTTGTTTTCTTCCTTTTCCTTTCTTTTCGATTTAATTTTACTTACATTCCTTGCCCATCTTCCAGTGTTGATGGGAGTGACAACGATTGATACTGGTTTGTCGGTATGGAAGCGTTTGGTTCTTCTCTCATTGATTATGATTTCATAGTTGATGACTGTTTTTACTAAGCGCAGTAATATGAAATTGATATCCTTGATACAAATGTTTTGATAAATCATTGAAGGGAATAAACACAAAAACTGAAATTGATTTACACATCCACTTCATACATATATATTGTATATATAGCATAAGCCTACACAAAAAACTATTATTATATATAAATATGCACACAAACGCATATACATATATATATTAATATATGTGCATATATGTAATCATTTCGATGGATGGGTTTGTCTGTATTCAATTGCTTACACGTATTCAGTAAGCAGTATCAAGAAGTAGTTAGGATTTATTAATTACGCTCTGTAGTGAAAAAACTTGGTGAGTTTGTCTGAGCAGGAATGCATTGTATTGCGTGTTTCCTTAAACTTGAAGTATGTCTCACAAAATAACTATGAGTATTACTAGCCATGGGCTATTCTATCACATAAAAAATCAAAGATTCTTCCAAAGTAGTCAAGTAAGTAGCTCTTAAGTCATATAATGGAAGTTATGTTAGTAGTTAATGCAGTGGTTAACACATTTAGAATATGATCCACTAGATTCGCTACATATTATTCCTCTCAAAAAGGTATGTGTATAAACAAAAAAAAAGAAATCTATAAGTTAGCTAAAAAATTCTTGAAGGATTTTCTCCCTATACGACGCTTAAAAACCATTTTTAAATCATATGAAATTGAATGTGAATACAGTAAAAATAAAACAGTAGAGACTATCTAGAGATGCAAGAACCAAACAAACTTGAAAAAATTTTAGATATTAGGCTGATAAATTCTGTCAAAAACAAAAGTCATTCGTTTCAACGTTGCAGAAGTCAATGGTATCCTTAAGCATTTGATTCCAAAAAGGAGCACATGGGACTGCAGAGAAACAAAACAAAAGTATGAGAAGAAAGAGGTGTACTAGTGCAAGTTGACCCTTGTCAAAATACAAAACAGAGCAATCTCTTACATTTATGAGTGTTTCAAGCATTCGGAAGGGATACTTATGTACATCTACTATGTTCGAAATGAAAAGGATAGGATTTTACCTTAAAAGAAAACTGTTTAGTTTTTACTGTCCCTAAATTAGTAAAACTTTTACTAAAGACAAAATTAGTTCATTATTGAAAAAATTATATTCAAGAATTTGTATAATTAAGTCCGGTCAATGGCTATTATTATGTATTTATTCTTTAAACTTTTTGATTAGTAGCTTCTTTACATATAATTTGTTTAATGAGTAAAAATTTTCAGGTTTATTCTTTGCAATCCATAGCCGGTTAAAAAAATATTCTAAATTATAAACTTTTCAACTGCATATATATCTCCCGCTATTAAGTTTCCAATTAAAGCAACAGTTTCGAATTATTTTTTTGCGCTAGAACGTTATTCTCCGTTTTCTTGGCATGATACAGCCTGCAGAATCGCTGGATGTTTATTTATATTACTACGTTAATGTAACGGCACAGTTCATAAAGCATATAGCTCTATCAGTAATATTACCAATAGAACTGTTGTTGCGGTTATCAGTCACAATATCGATTGCTCTCGACGGTGTCGGAGACGTTAGAGTATTTACTGGTTAGTTGCATAATGCAACGGCTATTTTGTCAAAATATACATACTGTACGTCACTAAACCTACCTGTGCTTCTATATGGCGTAGAAGCATGGACGCTACCACACAATAATGAAGTTTTTGAGAGAAAACTTCTTCTTGAGATCTTTGGTCCTCTACGAGTTGGGGGCGACTACTGCATCCCAATATATCACGAACCATACAAGCTTTCTTACGACTATGATATAATTCATCGAATGAATATTCAATAGCTTTGCTGGTTTGGTCACATCGTCAAAATGGATGATGATACTTCAACAAAAAAGATATTTAAATCGATAGTTGGTGGAAGAAGGCCTAGAAAAAGACCGTGCTTCTGATGGAGTGATTTAGTTATTATTGAAAACAAGGTATAGTGTTCTGCGACCTGACAGATTTGTTGTGCCACTTAGTCGGAATAGAGTGTTTCTCCAAGTCTGATTTCTTTAATGAAGATAGAGCCTATCTTTCCTACTCTTGAATCCTTATGTTCCTTGAAACTACCTCCCAGAACTGCAGATTCTCTATAGTATCTGCAGTCTGAGTTGGACTGAATTCCTAACTTGGATAAGTGATTATTCAATCTACAGTGATCGGTCAATAATCTCAAAATAATTCTTAGATTATTTTTTGATTGTGCTATGCAATCTTTGAAGCGTTTTAGGTAAGTCTCTAAAAGCATGTGATTAAGTTAAGGGAACACTAACAGCATTTGATGTGTGAGAATGGAAAAGGTACGTACGTATGCAGAGGGGGTGCTTAGGGAGACTGGTGCTACGTCAGCCCGAAACCCTACAACGGGTTGTTAGGCCATTCAAGTAATTTAGTAATGGCTAAAGTGAGTAAGTATCGATAATGTGCAAAGCCTTGGAACTGAAATGGCCTTGATGGTGTCGATGAATTATTAAGGCAAATGCTTATGGTATATTACAACTACAAAGCCACCATTGAACTACAAAGATTACATTAAACAGATTAAACAATTTCCGTAAAACGGTAGCCAACACTTTTCAACTTATGAGTTTGAAACTAACAGAAAACTGTGAACCTTCTTAATATTTTAAAGTATTTATAAACTAAATAAATTATTAAGTACTATAGTTAATTTTGTGAACTCTCGTGAATTAATCTAATGCTGAACTTACATCCCCTGTACATTTTTTTGTCAAGACCCATTGGAAGTCCCGTTGCTACTACAACCTATAAAATTCAATTATTTGTGTTTGGAAGTTTGTCAATCATCTTGTCAATTTTCATTCAAATAAAAATGTCACTTTATAAATTTGCGGTTCCATATCTTCATTGAAAATTAAAAATTACAATTTTCAAATTACAATTTACAAATAACAATTTTCTAATTAAAAACAACAAATTAAGCGCTTCATTTGTGAAGTGATGCGCATTCCGATTCCTTCACTGCCACTGCCTTACCAACTCAACTGCCACAGCGACAATTCTCGTTTCGGGTGCGAGTCTGGACCGAGTCCATTAATTCACAATTTTCAATTTACAACTTTCAATTTATGAGTGCAAAAGCACAAATTAAAGCGCAACAACAACTACAATTTATTTATAACTTAACAAACAATAACACCAACAACACCACCAACAATATTACAAGCAAAACATCGATAGCAAGCAAATGGCAGTAACAGTAGCTGTAGCTGTAGCTGTAGCAGTAGCAGCGACAGAAACAGCGGCAGAAGCAGAAGCTGCAACAGTGGCAGTGGCAGAAACACAAATCGAAACACCAACTTCTCCCATTAACATTGTGTGTTTTATTTGAAAAGTTAAAACTTTTTCCATTTTGTGCAAAATTTCTTAACAAACTTAAAAAAGGTCTCAATTTTTATTTGTAAATTGTAATTTGAAACTTTTATTACGAGTGGAAGACAAGAACACTTAAACGTCTCCCAATCATTGTTTGTCTTTTCTTTTTTTATTTGTGCCTTTGTATTTGCTGTGCACGTTTGCGTTGACAATATATATGTATGTATAAGTGC